TTAACGAGTGCAGGTGTAGCCTTTTAGAAGTCAGAACAACTTGGCTCTTCAGAAACAGACCAAGTATAATTTGCAAGCTGGGATTCAGAATATACAGGGGCACCTTTTTGTTCTCTACAGCTACTTGGCAGTGCCAGGGGCACAGCAGGGACTAAGACACAGCAGCACAGCAATTACTGAATTAATTCAATTAAAGTAATCGTCTCTGCAGTTAATTAAATTACTGTATTTTGATTTTTCTTTATTTGGTCAAATTATGTCCTCCCTTATGTCTGCAAATCTGTTTTACACCTTCATTCTTCCCCCTCACTTCACATTACAGGCTCAAACAACCAAATTCCATGCTGTGAGCCTGACATGAAATCAAAAAGCACCATCAAGGCCCTGCATCACATGATTGTCACTGACTCAACTTGATTCCAAGAATCCACATTCCAGCTAGAGCCTTTCACCTTTTTTTTTCCATTATTTGCTTGCAACTCCTCATCCTAAAGATTCATACCCAAGCCAATGGAACTTTGCCCAAACTGAAAATTCTTTAAACAACAGCTCTCAAAAGTATGATGTGACCTATAATAGGTTATTTCTGAAAACACTGTAGAACATTTTTATGGCAGCATTAACTGCTGGATTTCTCATGGTATAAGAAAATAAGAGTTATTACATTTACTGCTATGATTCTTCTGCTTCTTTGTGGTATCCAAGATTTCCAGTGTCCTCTTTCGCAGCTGCCCAAGTTCCAAATTTGCTTTTGGTCAAAATTACCAGAGATAAAATCTATAAATACAACACTTGCTTTAAAATGCGTGAAAAACAAAGGCTTGTGTCTATTGTAATTAGATTTTAATTTAGTTCATTTTATAACTCAAATATAATCGCAATACAAACTTTTAATTTTTTCTTTACACATTAGAAAGATTTCAGAATTTCATGCAATATGAAATATATAATCTTACATTAAAATGTACAGCTATCAGTAAGAAGGCTGACAAGTTCTCCCACTGCAATTGTCACTTTGGTTTCTTTAAAATACATTTTTGGCTGCATTATTCATATGGATTAAATACCTCACAATAAGCATTAAATTAAGGTAATATTCATGCTCAAGGATAAAGATGTGCATTGCTGTGTACAGTAATACTTCCAGAGTTCATTGTACTCTTCAAATGTATCAAGGCCAACAAGTGCTTAAGTTATGCTGTGAATACACTCTCAACCAATAAACATTAAGGAGTTATGTGTCAGTAAATATCAAAACCAGCAGCACAAAAATCACACAAGTATAACAGTGGTATTGAGCACAAAGAAATTACATTTATGAAAGGTTGAGATGAGTTTCTCAAAGCAAGATACAAATTATTCAAGCATATACATAATCAAACAACCTTTAAGAATCCTTATTCATGAACTTATAGCACTGAAAAATGAGCCACAATTGGTGGGAGGAGGTCCATACAGTGTCATAAAGTGTCCATACAGGACACGTTTTTCAGTAACTGAAAAGTTACTGAAAGTCACTGGACTTTCCTTCTAACAGAAAGGTTGAAATAATTCAAAGGCATTGGAAGCTTAAATTCAGACGTTAGAAAACAATTCTATACACACAACCTCACATTCAACATGTCAAGGAAGTAGCATTACATACAGCCTTAAGAATCAGCAGGGTTAAGACCAAAGACTACAACATTCTCCAGATGGTACAGAAATCTTTCAAAGTAGCAGTGCATCAAGTGCACCAAGCAGCAAAACACCAGCCTTGCCCATTTCACTAAAAACATACATTTAAAAACTGGATAACAGAAACAATGGCAATATTTTTAAATAGAAAACCTATGCAAAGAAAATAGCTAAATTATGAAGAAACTGTAATTACAATTGCTCAGACAACTTAACATAATTAATTTTAGTGAATTTCCATTGTCCTCAAAATCTATGCACCTAAAAAAATCATTAATCATAGTCAATTTTTTGGCAGAGTGTTTCCTTAGAATTTATCTATTAGTGTCACAGTAATCATATATATGGAAAAAGTACAACAAATACTTTAAATTTAGATGCTGAAAGAACTTTTTTCCTCTTTTTTAGTATTAAAAGGCAAAAAAGTAAAGGGAAATGCTACAGCAGGACTTAGACTGCAAGAAAATCCTGTATCTGGGCAGGTACTTGGGAATGTATATGGTAGAAATGCCATTTTTTTATTAAGCATAATAATGCAAAACCAGAAACAGCATCATTACATACTAACAAAGAGAATGGAGAATCTTCATTTCTTCCTATGTTATTTAATCACATGTCCAAATCCACAACCAAAAGAAAAAATTGTACTATTTACCCAGATGTGCTCTAACACATGAAAATTTTGTGGTTGATTTTGCTCATTGCTTGGTTTAGGAAAAAAAGCAAGCCCGTGAATTATTTAGAAAAACAGTCTAAATGAAATGAACAGATTTTTCTTTTGCTTTCTTCTTGGGTTATAAGACAGCAGTTTAACAGAACACCTTATCAGCTCTGTTCTTCTCACCTTCTTATTTTCTCATAATAAACATATACTTGTTATCAGTTTGCATTTTTTTCTTAGTGGATTCACAGCCTCAGAATCTTTTCACTGAGCAGATCCAGTTGGCAACAATGCCACAAACACAACACCATGTTTTTGGTTAATCATTAGCATTGTTCCTCTGTTTGCTCGTCAGAAGCTCCAACAGTGAAGACAGCAGTAGAAATTTCACAAAAATCAAGAGTACTAACAGCTTTTTGAAAGGTTTTAGAAAAGTCTCAATCACTTGACAACATACTTGATCAATCTATCCTTTTTTGCATATAGCCACCACTTACTAACAAGCATTTCTGTACCAGCTGAAAAGTACGGCAGGAATGGCAGCCTATTTTATACAGATAACCAAAGATTTGCACTAAGAGAAGCTCAAGTTGAAAAAGATAATGTAATTTCTACAAATCCATGACTTTTGTAGTTCCAATGCTCTAATTCAAATCCTATGCCACATCTTCATTTTTTCCCTTTTATTTTTTGTCTTGTGATGTACGAAATGTATATTTTTAAGTGGCTTCATACTAACAAGTAACACACAAGCATCATCTCAAATTTACCTATTTAAATTTTCGGAAATTTCTCTGCCACTGTTTATTAGGAACAGTGCCTTTTGTTCATACATACGTATAAAATGGAAGCATAATCTTAAGTAAACTTGATTATGAATGAATGTTCTTGTCAGCTACAAGCAGAGGCATGTCCATACCATGAAAGGGAGAAGTGAATCTTCACAATGTAAGGACTTCAAAGTCAGGAAATATTTACCACCTACTTCAATCTAATTTCAAGCTCTGCTCAGCAAAGTGATAGGAGAGGAGTGACAGTTACCAATCACTTCAGAGTACATTTCATCTGCTGCATTATTACAAGCATGAAGTCTCAAACTTCAGAAGTTACCTGAGTAGAACCGAGAAGATTCTGATCAATCAACAGTAAAAAAATAATAAAATTATACAATCACTACCTCTGATATAACAATCTTTCCTGGATCTGAAAAAGCTTTGTGAATTAGAGCCAATAGTCAAAATGAAATAAAGAGATTTACCCAACAGAAAGACTAGTGTTGTAGAAACAGAACAGATACCTCCAAGGCACCAATACACCTCTATTCAAAAAATGCAGGGCTCACCACTTTTCTTTTTGGTTTGAAGAAAATAGTAATTGCTTCAATACAGAGAGCAGCTACCACAAAGTAATAAGTTACTGAGGGCCACTGGCTTCATGGTGACTACACATCCCACAGTAAGCACCACTCACACTAGGTAGATCACTCTCTAATCTACCTACCTTGTGTTACCCACTCCATTACAGACACCTAGCTGGAACTTGGGCACAAACAAAGTCAGGATTCACCGAATTAAGGACAACAAGACCCAACTAACGCTAACACGTGTGTCAGGTGTAAACTGCTTATGAATGCAATATTGTAGTTTTAACTTGAGATGTTAACTTGCACATCTAGTTGACAGAACCTACTGTTCCAGCTTCATTCCCTTCATGACACTACAGATTAACCTTCAACACTTTAACAATCCAGTGTCACAGCCTGACTTTTGTGCACCAAAAGCTCAAACACAAGTAACACACACAACCAAACCCTTTTAAAAATGTTTTATCTAGAATTAGAATATAGGAAAAAACCTGCAGAGACAAGGGTTTGCCCCCATTTTGACACAGCTTTTGCAACACAAAAGTAGGACAGCTTCCAAGTAAACCATGGTAGCAAGGTTGTAACACTTGAGTAATGTAGCTACTGAGAGAGAATGGAATTCTTCTGATTCAAACTGCAGAGTTTATCAGGATACACCATTTGTAAAACGTAACAAACTACAACAGACTTCTCAGCCATAGCACACAAACCCATTCCAGCTTAGAGAAGAAATGTGTTGCAGCAAGCAGTAACAACTCTGATTTGGGCAGTCAAGTAACTGTATAAAGAAGTAATTTTTAGACTGTAAATGAGAAGTTTTATGAAAAAGTTGTGTTCTGTGTCTCAAGTATTGCTAGCATACAAAGACTGTAGGAATCTAGAAATTAGCAAATCATTTGAAAAGAGAGAATGTTGAGAATTAAAGAAAGTCATTAAACAGGATAATTTTATAATTATATTTGCCAATACAGTTTGTCTAGAGTACACTTCAAAATACAAGAAAAGCTTTAAATTTGTAATTTTATCACATTGCTTAAAACAGCTGGTGAAAAGTCACCAACCTACCATGAAAGTTAGAACATTAAACCTAACATGAAAGTTAAAGACCAAAAGCTATTTTGAAAATAAAAAAAACATCCAAAGGTTTTTGAAACTACCTTCGGACTTTTCAAGTTTAGCTCTGAATTGACACTCAAAATACTAATTTACTTCTTCATTATTGAAAAAAAATAAAACCCCAAACCAACTTTATCAAGATTGAAAATATTTACTGCAAAGGTTGAAAATAGATGTTCCTACCTCCACTTTCGTTCTGTAGAGAATGAGACGCTTTAGGCTGCCCACTTTTGCTATGTGGTTGAAAGCCTGGGGTGGTATTTTATCACATGATGAGAGATTTAATTCCTGAAGATTTGGACACATTTCAGTGATGACCTCCAAGCATGTTTCATTAAGGAAATGGCCACAAGACAACTCAAGGCGTACTAGTTCAGAGCCACAGACTTTCAGGAACCTGTAAAAGAAGCCCACATATTAAGTAAAATTTAACATACTTTCAGGTGAGAAACTGAATACTGTCAAAACCTTAACCATGTAAACCACAAGATAATTTCTTTCAAAAAGAAAAGGCAATAGTCTTGATAATTCTGCTTTGGTTTAGGAAGCTAGAACATGCTTTGTTATTAATATTACCTCTAAGACAATGAAGCAAAGTAAAACAGTGATCATGTTTGAAATGTTTTAAAACAGCCGAAAGCCAATTTTGACAATGGACTGCAAGTTTACATCAATAATTTCATATTTATCTCAGAAAAATCTGAAAATATAAAAATAAGGTTAAACAAATACTTTTAAATGGATGATCTATTCAGAATTGTTTTATACTTTTAGGAAGAAAAAAAAATCTCATTCTTTTCATTAACTAGTCAGAATGAACACTTGCTAGCTGTTCTAGAACACAAATTCCTGAAGAATTATTTGACTTTAATTGGAATTATAAAAAATAAATATATCATTTGAAAAAAGACCCAAAATGTAGAAACTTTGATGGTCTCTGTGTTTTGCTTTCCTGTCAGAGATCTCATGTCAGAATCTCAAACTCTTTTATCTCTAACCTGAGCTTTAACCAAAACCACATAAACTTAGTCCTTTTTCATTTCAAACATAACCTTCAAACCATAAATTAACCACTAGGCTTGTAAGCTTGGTATTTAATAGGATTAAAAAAGCCCACACAATTGCCATGCTTATGTTATATTTTGACAGTTCCTCCAGTAGAAAAACTAGTGTCCTAAACTACAGGTTGTAATGAGTTTCCCATGTTATTTCCTAGAATAATGGACCTATTTGTGAAAGACCATGAATTAGTTTCTCTTAATAAATATTCTGATCTGCTCTCTTACCAGTTCTATCCTACAAAAACATTCACACAAACAAAGCAGCTTCAGCACCTTCCACCCCAAAGTATTATTTCTTGGGTTTAACTGATGTAATAAAAATGCCAGACACAAAGCTCCTGCTTGCACAAAAACTCCTATTGCTACAAGGAAAGTGTTATTAGCCTTCCCAAGCATTTGTTCATGCTGAAGCTTAGTATGAAATTGCTGCTGGTCTTAGAAGAAGACACACATTCAGGGAGGCATTCCTCAAAAAGCCCAATTCTTGAAATCCATCTTTCAAGATCCAAGTTTCAAGCTACCTCCTTTCCTTATTTTTTCACTACTTACTCAAGTCATACTTGCCATTCATTATCACCTTTCTTTATGCCTTTCACCTTGCATTTTACATGGCCTTAGTGTGATTATGTAGATCCTATATAACACAGAGGGAAAAGGAGATTCCAGGGTGGCATCTCCATCCCTGGATGTTTCCAAGAATCACCTGAAACCTTGACTGACCTGATCTAGCGTTGGGGACACTGGCACTTCAAGTGGGAGCTTGGAGTAGACGACCTTCAGAGGTCCCTAACATCCAACATTTCTATGAGCCTAAGCAAACAGAAACAAAGAGAGGGTCTGAGACATGAAAGGGGAGACATAAGTCCCAGAGCCATAGGAGTTCTGCCATGTATGGTCTTCAAGTCTACTCTTCCACTGTTTTTTTTTTTTTTCTCACTCTGCAGTCTCTATTTAGACTTTATTTTAGCTTTTAAAGTCAGAGTTTAATAAAACACTAAGCAACTTCTATACTGGATACAGTGAATTAACAGACTGGTAAACCTTCCTGTGGGAATGTCAGAGCTGAAATGACACAACAATTCACAACAATTAACATCAGGTATTTAAACATTTAAGTGCTATTTTAGACTAGCAATAGAGTTCAACACTATTATGGAGAAATGCAGGATGGAAATCCCCTGGAAATTGGAGCAGAGATATATGGATACATTGCTGATTACCAATTAGCCAATTCCTCTATTTAATGTGTGCTTTGACAATACATTCACACAGCTTCTTTCATCAACAAATTATCAGGTTTGTTTGAATGATGGTATTTTCCATAAAACTTTTGTCAGTCACCACTTATTATACCTCCAGCTTTTAATTTGTTAACAAATAAATATTTTATGAATTACTCCATTACAATAATGGATGTTAGTTTAACTGCCATATAATTTAACAGGGCTTGGCTGTTATAAATGTTAGTAGAGATCAATGCTTTTCTCTTTCTAGGGCTATTAAAAGTTAACATTACCAGGTCAGGGAAACACTCAGTTAACCCCCTAGACATGGAGAAGAACTCCAGGCTCACCAGCTGGAAGAGTTATTATCCTCATGATATTTTATTTAAACTCTTTATTTATACACTTGAAACACACAGACAGAGACCAAACACAGAGACAGCAACAAGCACTGCCCTTCATGGGTTTGCTGCCTTGTTGGAAAAGGTTATTTAGGAGACATGAAACAGAAACAAAAGGGGGATAAGGTACATGCAGCAGCAGGGTACAAGAATGAGTGGACATGCATGTAGGAACGAGAGGAACAGGGACAGAAGGAGGAATCTGAGGAAGTCAACAACCAGCACAGGGCAGAGAACATTGGGCAGAAGCGCAGAAGTGCACAGCTCTATGGGACACCTTGATCTTTGTTTGAATTAAACAGACTGCTCAGGATAGAGGTTTTTGCTGCTGTCTTTCCACATGGATTTCCACATAGAGCCATATGGCAAGGCAGAATATGAGTTCTCATGCTTTCAAAACAAATGTGGCATGGTCTTCATACTTCTGAGACTTAAGAGTCCCTGAGTGACTGGCTTGATTTAGCTAATCTGAAAAAAAAACAACACCCAAAAAAGCACCTTCTACCCAAATCAAAATTTCATCACATACTTCTTCTTTAATCACTGAGGATTGACTGGTTCCTGTTCTCAGTCTCTCCTCTGTTCTGCAGTCACCCATCCCTTTAGTTTTGTTTTTATTATCAATATTTTATACACACCATTTCTGAAGTGATTTCTCTCCATCCCTTCATGTTTGCTATAAAATATGACTGAACAACCTGGGATAATGTGAACATGCACATTTCTTTTACTAGACAGTGCATTGCGCATTTCCCTTAAGTTTATCCTCACTCTAGACAGCAGTATTTCAGGCCTTTTAGTTGTTCAGTCTTGTTTCTTTCTAGTTTTTGGAGGGGGGAGGTGGGTTTGGGTTTTTTTTGTTTGTTTTTTTTCCCCAGAGGGGAGGGGACTGTTGTTTTTCATAAAAAAAGGAATCCCACTTGTCATCACCTTCTGCCTACTCTCAAGAATAGCTGCTTATTTTCAACCCCTCCAGCTTTTGGGAAGTAAGTTCTAGTGAAGTTTTCCTGAAATATCAAATACATCTATTACCAGGCAGGATGATATTGGCTCATGGTTAAACCCATCATGATCACAGGGTCACTTAGCCCACTAACCATTCCAATCTTGTAATTTATGTGTGTATCATAAGCATATCTCACGATCCAAAATTAAAATCCAAGGTACAAGAGAGAGTACTCCTCATGTCAGAATATAAGACCTCCCAAAAGAAATTCTCAAAACACCTTTAGACATGTGCTTATGCAGGTACTGAACACATCACATTTCCTCCAATGGTTTCTGGTGGATCTAGAACCTATAATTCACTCTTAGCTTAATGATCCTCACTTACTCCCCAGTTCAAAACTACTGAAAATTCCCTAAGAAGTAGGGATCACAGTCCTGTTTTCTTTCATCTACTCATCCTCCCTAAGTGCAATTAGCTACATAGTTTTATATTCCTTTAGTGCAATTAACACAACAGTTTTCAATTATGCTGATTTTACCAAATCTTTTTTCAATTAAAATCTTCACTACCCATTTTATACTCATTGACATATATTTGAATTTGGTATCCAAGAGAGAGGGTGGAAAAGGGAAGCAACTTCCATTTGTGAACAACACAGGGTCGGACAGAACTTTTTTCTTTAGCACTTCCCCTTTCGGTGTTACCTTACATTAGCATCCACGTCAGGGATGTTACCTCTGTTACTTGACAGATACAATATTGCCCCATTTGCCAGGCCTTCCTTGCTATAAGCCTCCTAGAATCATTATTTCATAAAAAACAACCATTTATGTCTGCTTCAAGCCAGCTACATGCTCCCTCCAGCTACTCAGGTCTCCTGTTTCCAGAGCCTGCCACCAGACAAGCAAAATGTCAAAACCCACCAGGATTGTATTCTTCCTCATTTCACCTCCAAGATCTTGAGAGCCCCTCTTTCTTACTTAGTTCTATCTATATGATTACTTGCACAAACTCACAGAGGACTTTCTGCGTTACAATTACAGCCTTGCTTTTAATAAAATGGTTTGTGGAATTCTATTTTAATATCCTTCTTAAAGACCTGTTCGTGTATTTTTAAATTTACAGTGATGCTTTTCCTTTCAAGACTGTCATGTTACAGGACTGCAGCAGCATTTAGAACAGGTAATTGTAACAAAAGTATTAAAGCTGGTAAGAGTGGAGAACAACTGGGTACACAGAGGTGTAGGAGAAAGAAAAAGAACAAATGGCATCACAAGGGCTGGAACAGAGGCGTGTATTGGTGGAAGTCAGATTAGCAGGTCACTGACATCTTTGAACACTTGTGCAGGCAGTTTTGTGCAGGCAGTTTCCCAGGGCACACTGATCAGGAGATGAAGAATAGGAGCAGCGCAGGATGGTGAGACCACATGCCAGACAATTTGATTTGGACACACATCTTGGTTCTCTTGGCGCATACAAGAATTCATGCTTAAGAGTGAGACTTTGTAAGGTAATTTGGTTTTAAAATTAAGTCACTTTCCCTTCCTCTAGCTATTCTAATTGGTAAAATGTTATTTTCTTCTCTAGCATGTATTACACTTCCTTTTTGGTAAGTAAATCCTAAAACATGGCATGTAAGTAAGTAGAATATCAAGTACCTGAACTTGTGCTTTTCTCAACACAGATTAAACTATATCAAGAAAAATATGCAAAACAAACATTATAACTTACACTCACCCATCCCTCCCTAGTTTTACTAAAAACCTCTGGAAATTAAAGCAAGAGATAGACCTGATTGATAAATTGAGAATCCCTGTAAAGTCACACATTACTCCATTTTCTATGACTGTTTGCTGTATATTTCAGTAATTTCTTTGACCCTCCTGCTAGCTTGACTCCTAAAGCCTCACCAAATTAAATATTGTCAAAACACGCTTCTACTAAAGGCAATGAAAGCCTTCAATTGTCAACAGCAACAAAACTGTTAAAGAAATATTCTGGGATGTGCTTGCCATGCAACTACTGCATCACTAACCTGAAAATAAAACACTATTATTTCATTTTCACAGTGTAAAATGTCAGATGTAAATAAAACCCCTAATTCCTCAGATATTTAGAGTTTAAACAAGTTTATGACGTTATCAGTGATCCAAGGAAATCTGCATGCAGAACTCAGTTTTTAAACTGTCATTGTCCTTGAGCTGTTTAAACCTCAGAGCATTTATTCAGAATCTCAATATTTACTACTCCCCCAATCAGCTCCACTCACTCTTCCTATATAGGTCCTACCCTACCCCCATACTGATATTTCCCCCCGGCATGAAGAGATTCACCAGGCCTCTAAAGCCAAGAGAAATGCAGAGCTGCTTATGTAATGCTTGCCGTGAATTCTTTGCTTATTCCCTGTCATTCTGCATTTCAGACTCCTGAGACTGCTCAGATACTCCTTTCACTTTTTTTGCACATATTTTGTTCAATCTGATATAAAGTTTAGTTAATTTATATTATATGATGGAATGAAAAATTTATGGTAGTAATTTCTAGCCCTAAGGAGTAGATGTTATCAATAAGTTAAAATACCTTCAGCTTTGCCTCAGGATGTTCATATGCCTGAAGCATTCTGTCTTCTCATGATAATACAGTATTTTCTCTAGTCACATTTCCTAAAATTACTTTTAACTTCTTTTCACTCTAATACATTTTTGAAGAAAATATGTATTTCCAATAATTTCTTAGTATTTTCAATCATGTCATGCATATATGAACATTTTAAAATGACAAATTTATACAAGCTACTATTTTTAAGACTGTCATAAGAAGAAAAAGATAAAAACATTTTTGAAAGATATTTTCCAAAATAAGGTTTAGCAAGACTAGCATTTAAAGATATTCTGACTAGTAGAAATCCTAATTTAAAATGTTCAACTGTAAGAATTAAACCAACTCTACCAGTTTTGAATTCAACCCTGCCAAATGTAACTCCAAATGCTGAGAAAAGTGCAAATATACATGTGTCCTGGTTTTGGACAAAAGGAAAAATGGTAAAAAGCAATTCTTATTCTAATGAGTCTCTTCTATTAGTAGATACTTTCATAGTAAATGAGCAGCAAATTTTCCTCCCCTGGAGGCCAGCAAATTTGACAAACATGCTGATGAAGACTGTCAAAAGAAAAACTTGTGTTGGGGATTTTACCAGAGAAGACTTCTACGAAAGAAATGGTTGCAAAATTATTTCTGTAATAGAAAAAAGTTTAAAACCAGACCTAGTTACAGTGGAGAATTTTTGTTTCAGAAGGGAAAATAATAATCACAGTTTAGACACGCGAATTATTTAGCTTATAACTTTGCTTTTAAAATTTACGATTGAACTGCATCTCTCATTCACAGACTGCACCCATCTCTTCCAAGAAACACTTTTTCCTAAAACCAAGATAATTTCAGAATTGCAACAATGTCAAAGTTTCTTTTCCCATTTGTTACAAATAAATATAATCTCTTATAAGAAATAGAAACGGAAAATATTCATTCACAGATTATTAATAGACAAATAATGAATAGCTATTATTTAAAAACACTGTCTACACATACATGTTACTAGTAATTCAACACTGAAGAAAAAAATTAGTAATAATAAAGTAATTTTCAACTAAGTGGAAGTCAGAAATGCCAGAACTGTAAAATTTATAAGTCTCTGAATCTGGCAATAATTTCTTATCAGACAACAAAGACTTTTCACCCTACTGTATATGAAAAAAAAAAAATCATGAAAATGAAAAAAAGTTGCCACAAAGATTCACATATGTTAAGTTTTCAAAAGTCAGACTTAATAGCTGAGCATCAGAAAGCAGGCACTTCATGATTTTCAAGTTGAATTCTCAATTAAAACTTGCATATTAATCTTCTGCATAAAGTATCTAACATGAAATCCAAATTTAGGAGAAATTTTCATACCCAATTCAAACACTAGCCAATGCTATTTTTCCCCCCTACCAATAAGCACAAAAAGACATAGGATTCTTGCATTATACTGGAGGGTCTAGAAAAACAGAAGAGACATTCCCATCTTGACAAAGTATTTCTTCAAAATATTTTACTTCCGCAGGTAAGGAATTTAGGCATAAAAGGAAAGAAAATGTCTGCATACTTGAGTTAACCTTTTTATTCAAAAAACAAATGAGAATTAAGAAAACTTTTTCAGACAGAGTAAACATTTCTGTTTCTTATCAGTCAATTTCTGCTTTCAACTGCTATTGCTGATTACCCTTTAGTTGAAGCAACAACTTTTACTAAAGTGAAATGCATTGATAGAAGCTGTTTAACGAATGCAAATGAGCAAAGAAGCAAGAAATGATATCTTAAGAAAGCAGAGAACATGGCTGTTATACAGAGAAGAATCCCTGCAAATTTGCTATTTTAATGAGCTACACCACAGTCATATTTTCAGCTCATTGGAATATGCACATGCAACCCCCCTGTTTTCCAACAGGGCTAATGTTTTAAATCATTTTTATGAAAATATTTGCATTTACATTGGACTCCAGTGATTACTTGGCTCATACCATGTGAGCATGCAATCAGTTTATTACTGCAGCCACTCTAATACAGTCCTACTGATGACTCATCTGTACAAAGAACAACCACAAACATTTTCCTTGTGAGATGGATTTTTGATAGCTCAGTTCTAGCAGAGTGTTTTAGAAGCCCAGAAGAAAGCAAAACACTGCTCCCCCTGGAAGAAGCCTTTCAGTCACAAGCAGCTTGGAACATGCAGACTCTAAAGACTGCTATGGACTTCTGCTGCTATATTTAGTAACTGCTACTGTTTTAGCTGTTCCTTTTTCCTACATCATAACAATCACACCCTTTATAGATAATCCAATATATTTTTTGCCTTTTAATAAAGTTTCAATTACTTAGTGACACTACCGTGCAGCAGCTCTGCAAACAGCTTGTCAAAACATGTCTGTACACTTAACACTGACCTGCTAAATCCAGAAACAGAGATGGCTCCTCTGTTTCCAGTCCAAGATAAATTCAGCCACTGGATGAGCGTGCAGCGAGACTGTAGATACTCCAGGGATGTGTCATTAATCCTTGCCCAGTAAGGTTGTAAACTGAGATGAATGTACTGTAGAGGGTCACAGCAATGTTGATACAGTAGTTTACAAGTTTGTGCTAGTCTACACAGGTCTGGTACTGTAAGGTGACTCAAAATCAACTGGATGAGCTATATTAAAAACAGGAAAAAAGTCACAGATGGTCATATAGCACTTAAAACATTAAGGGAAAACTGCAAAAGAATAAGAAAATGTATTCTAACATCAAGAAAAGTAAAACCTTTTACTTAAAAGTAACTTCTCAAATAAATTGATTAACTATTAAATAGAACTGCGCCGCCTTCTCAGTTTGACAACATGCTAAACAAGAAAGGAAAAAGAAGATCAGCACATGAAAGTGACAGGAAGCTTTCAAATCAAAGTTTCTTTACCCATGCTAATTTAAACAGTGATATATATGTAAACACTATGTTTATCTATTTCCTTTCCCTAGGTCTGCTCTTTCATTGAACAGAATACAGAACTGGAATCCTCCGTCTTCTCTGTATTTGGGTTTTAAGATGGGAGATATTTGCAAAGTACATGGAAAAATGATAGATACCATGTCCCAGTTTCCCCACACCCTAAATCAATTTCATATTTATTCCTCTTTTCCCTGCTTTAAAAACCAGTGTTTTGTCTTCTGTCTTATATCCTCTCCTCTGGACTGTGCAATCAGGTAAAAAATTCAACATAATCAGGTCTCCTTCTACAATCTCTTCCTTGCTGTAATACTTTGAGAGCATTTTTGTTCTACACCAGAGTCAAATCGGAAAGGCAAAACCCCTTTTGAACTGTATCAGTTGAATCATCTCATCTTCAGAATAATCACCAGCCTATCTGACTAGCATCACTGTAACAGTTTTTGTAATAACTTATGTCACACTCAGAAACTAAGACATATCCCTCCTCTCCCATCACATTCTGTTTTCCTTTCCAAGGAATGATCAACACACACACAGACATAAATACTCTCTTTAGGAAATAAAAACACCCAACAAAGTAAAGAAATCTCTTTTAGCTTCGGAACTGAGAGAAAATGCACTTGAAAAATGAAATCTAAAAATTAATGTTTACTTTACCAGTGGTGTCTCTAGCAGATGTAAGCACCTGCGCTCAAGTTATATAACTCAAATTGACTGTTTTCAAGAAGAGTAGGAGACAGTAACTCACTGTAATGAATCAGTATAAATTAAAAAAACTACAAGTCACAAATCAACTCTAACGGAAAAGAATCCTGTGGTCCTTTCAAAATACCAACATGTTTCATTTTAATGTCTTAGAAGGATTCATAAGACAAATCCGCCAAAAATCAGAATAAAATCCATGATGTAATATGAAAATGGAGCTTTTTGTGAGATCCAAACAGATTGTACTTCCAATGCATCACTTTATTATGCAGCTACATTCCACCTCCCCTCCTCCCCCCCTCATTTTTGGAACAACAAAACAATTCAACTTCCTGCAAAATGGAAAATGTTACATCCTACTCAACTCCAGATTTAGTATTTAAATTTCCAACAAGATCTATGTATCTTAAAACATTTTAGTTTAACTCCAAAGCAAAAATACAGTGTTTGATATACTCCAGTTTCTTTCATACTTGGTTTCAAGCCCTTCATCTTCTTGCTTGTCATTTCCCCTAAAAACAGCCCAGGCTATTGTCTCTGCAGTTGTCTGGAACTCAGATTGATGCAGAGGACCAGCACAGACATATCAATGTAACAGTGCATACATATATACACACACACACACATATATATATGTGCATATATAAAAAATATATATGCACATATAATAACTGCAATTATATTATAATCAGCAAAGTTTGCGCCCAACTGGCATTTAGGAACATGTTGACATTTTGAAACCTAAAATATCCAAAATAACTAAGAGCTAAGATTTTTCTCTCATGGTTTCTCTACTAAGTTTTCTAGAGCTGAAAACTCAGCAGAGGCTGCACAGTTAGCAGAATTTACGTCTACAATTAATGTGACACAATGTCTGATAAAAGCAAAGTAATACAAATTTAATTCAATGATAAAAAAGTTCTTTTGTAACTTCTGAGCAACAGAGAATGGTGAATGAAACTATAAATGACTGAACAATGTCCATTTACACTAATTGATGACTTCAATGAGTATTTTGTAACAAACAGGATGTCTTCCCACACCTGAGATGAAATTGCCCATGTCCCAATCAAAAAAATTTGTTTTTTATTGAAATTGTGCTATTTCATAATATATAGAATGAAAACACACAATGAAATGTCACTCCTATCATATTATACTCCTGTGTTATAAAGTGCTTTTTCCTAGCTTTTGATTAAACAAAAATAACAGGTTCAAGACGTACAGGCTAATAACCATTAATCACCATTAGCCTGGAGTCTGGTGTCCATCAGGAACACACGTTTTGTGTCTGTGTACCCTAGCATAAAGTACAATTTAATATCATAATGAGTATGTGACATGATGTGCTCTACTGTGATATGCTGTGTTTGTGGTGATTCCAAGAATGCTACAGAACTGAGTATCTGCTTTGAAAACTAATTTAATAATCTCGTTTCTCACAAACAACAGTTTTTACTGTGATTTTATGAAAAATTATGACAATTACTATTATCTCACTCTTTCCTATGAATCAATCAGCAAAAACAAAGTTTATCAGAAAACACAATAGAAAGAGGAAAACAAAATACAATTTATACAACACACACTTTTTAGCCTATGACAGACTACAAGAGTACTTCCTCTCCCATTTCCAGGGCGAACATGGCACCTGTCAGCTTTAAGCCAGGCATATTTTTTGAACTACCAAATAAAAAAATAACATCTTAAAAAACAAAAACAAAAAAAAGCTTCTCACCGACTACAAAGTTTGCCTATAAGTTTAGACAGAATTTCCACTCCTCAGTACAGGGGGCAAAACTTTACCAATGGTGTAGTTACTAATAGTACTGAACCAGAAGTTTCTCTGGCTTTTTAAGCCTTTTTTTGAAAAGCAGCAAGCAACAACCATTTCTACTTACACTTTCCATGGGTAGAGCACAATAACACACAACTTGGTTTTGTCAGAAAAGAATGTCTGGATGCTGGTCAAACCTACAATACTCATACTTTCTACAGATTTTCTTTTTCAGCTCTTATACATGAAGATGAAATGGTTTTCCAATTAAAAAAATACACTGGCCTATGCAAACTCCTCATTCAGAAACAAGCAAATGAACAACTTGCAATTTTTTGATTCTTGCAGCTAGAGCTGCTACAGTTTAGAATCTATTTAATTAGAACTGTCATTAAAACATGCTCAGGTAAAGGACAAAGGCTAAATGCACGAAGAGGCAAAGAGAGAAGGCAAGAAGAAGATGGTATTCTAGGGTTTTTGACATTTCTCAGTAGAGTTTAAGAAAACACACATCCCTGTTTCCACAACAGTACAACTTGCACCAGCAAATGCACACACATTTAATAGTACACGTGAACACTAGCAGACATGAACAGTTCATAAATCTTGTAGGCAGCTTTTGGAAAAATCAGCTTCAAGGAATGACAAAGACATCATTTATATCTTTCTACACCAAAATTTTTACAAAAAATATACTTTGGACTGGAGCATACAGAATCTTCTGACTCTCCTCTCTGGAGAAAAATAAGCTGGGTTTTAGTAGTCAGCACATCTTGGTGAGTCTCAAAGTACACAACATGGATGCTGCAGCAGGTATTCCTCAGCTCTCCCCAAAGTTTTGAATTTGGTCAGGCCTTCAGGCCTCACCTATTCCTGCAAAGCCAACTAAGACTAAGGCATTATTCCTTCCACTTTACAAGCAGCACAAGCTGGTCAATGAACTGGGAAGGAAGACAATGACATAGAGTCTCTCCTCTAAAATTCTTCCTCAATTTTAAGGTAATTCTGGAGAAGAGATCATAGATAGTACAAGTACTTAACAGCTAGTAAGTGCTGGTTAACACCATTCAAGGTTGGGGAAGGAAAATTCTTTCACTAAGATCATCCAAAAATTTACAGTTTCTTCTACAGAAGACTGTGCCTTGGGAAGCTGAGTATTTTTTGTTTTTTTAGACAGGAGCAATCCTAAAATGTCTTTGGAGTTCACACTGCAGCAAACCATTCCTAATGTCATTTTGAGGAACAACATGAAAGGATAGTCTATGGAAGTTTCAGAAATTCAACAAAGGCAAAAAAAAAAAAAAAAAAAAAAAAAAGCTTGGAGGAACTGCTGCCTACTTAGCAAAACCCACTCAGCTTGTATATTTTGTGAACTACAGAGGATAGTATGAAAAAACTTCCAACAGCTCAAATAAGGAACAGGCATGTTTATGAAAACTTAGGACAGTTACATTAACAATCAATATACGCCTACAGAAAAGGTACAACTTTTCATGTAATGCATCAATCAAAACCGGAAGAAGTCAACAATTGCCTTACTTCACCCACAGTTTGAACACCTCCCCTAAAAAGCTGGTATTTGTCAGTCTTAAATACAGCATGTAGAGTACTGTTTCCATATCCAATGTGATTAAAAACTGTCACACCACCAAGTACAAGATTTTTGTTGTTCCGATGCCCAACCCTTCCAGCTGGACTAGAAAGTAGGCAACTGGGATTTCTGCTACCACAAAACCAGTACAGAAATAGTCTTTTATAGTTTTCTGACAAATATTCCTCCCATATTTTCAGTTTCTTTAAACCAAAGCAGAAGAAAAAAAATATTCTTAGTATTGACAGATCATATAAATTTATTTATGAAACCAAACATGTTAAAAAATGGATAAAAAAAGAAAGCTGGTAGACAAAAAGGAGAGCAGAAAAACACAATACAGTACATGGAGACAGAAGTTCATAGGAGTAACAAGACTACACAAATACTTCCTAAATTAAAATTTTAATATGTGTTATCAACCATTTATAGTTTGATTCAATGATCTTGGAGGTATTTTGCAACCTTCACGATACTATGATCGTGTGGAACAGAAAAGAGATTAATCAATCTCTCTGATATTCTAGTACATTACAAATCAATTTATCCAGACTTTTCAAACAAGAAAAATTCCTACATTTAAGTGAAATTTTATCTACAATTAATTTCCTTAAATTACTAAAACCAGCATGTTTTCAAACTTTCAAACAATTATGTGAAGCACTTTCTTTACTTCAGTACTGCCATGCAAGCATCAATAGCATACTAAACATCATGGGTACTCTGGGGGAAAAGCCAAACAAACAAACACCACTAGAGCTAACTCATGATAAAGTTAGTTTACTTATTTATTATTCCACTGCATCAACAACAAAAAGAACCTCAATCCAAACTCAAGAGGTTTGGTTTCAAGAAAACTTTCAAGAGAAGACAGAGTTGTTACAGTCTCTTCCCTTTTCTTTCCCTCTTTATAAGCACAAGAGTTGCTTCATTCTCTTCCTTTCTCTCTCCTCTTTACAAGCAAACTTCTGCAGGCTACTAGGGCACATGGTCACCCAAGCACAGCCTTCATGTGTCAAACTGAGGTACTTAAAGTCAAAAGATGTGGTAAGACCAAAATACTATTTGATTAGATGAGGCATTTCTGCAAGCACCCCCCAATCCATGGCAGCACACCTCACATTCCCTTTCAAAAGCGAGTCTGGATCAAGCCACAAGCACTCTGAGCATTTGCTGAGTTACCACACTGAATGAACACTTGCTGCCTCTGCCAGACCGCAGCACACCGAAGAGCAGGAATAATCTTGTCTCTGCCCAAGTCCAAAGGTTTGACCAGCAAGTAAAGGCTCATTACCACTATGTGCCAACAGTTTATTTTAGGAGAGGTGAAGATAACTGTTTCATCTCTCAATTTTTACTCCAGTCAGGGTACCAGCCTTCTTAAACAGCTGTATCCCACTGAGAACTGCCTGACCTGCACATGGTATTCAGCAATCACACTCCACAATTTCATTATATTAGAAATTAGAGGAAAGAAAATACTCATCTACAGACTCTGAGCACACTTGCAACCATTGTGCTGCCAGGGGATCTGGAAGGAGTTTCTTCACGACTGTCTTCTGTACTAATGACAGAATAAAAAGTAGCAAGCATAAAAAAGAAGAGAGTGTGCTGAAGTCCAGCTAGAAGATATTTTACCTGCACCACAATTCAAAACTTAGCTGGATGGAAAAAGCTCATCTAATAATAATATAAAAATATTACGGCACTTTCAAGAACAAAGCTCTGTAATTTTTTTAAGAGAGAAAACAGGAAACCAAACTTTTAGCCTACTGCAAACTCTTTCAACTTCCAGATGTTGACTGAATCTTTTCATATCTCTTCTGTGTATTTTCTTTGTCAAGCATGACAGCTAAAAACCTACCAGAAAACTGCTAAAAGCTTTTAAGTTCAAGAGCTGGAAATTCGAGGCTAGAACAACTGGTGTAAAAACTGTGTGTGAATGCACAGATTCTTGAGAGTAAGAGTGTAATAACTATGCAAATACCTAACATCCACCCATGGAAGCAGACAGACTTACAGAATTCAGGCATACCTATACAGTAAATGCAGGAGATTCACAGGGAATGCAAGAACTGGGTAAAAACAACAATCCTGACCAATACTCTGTAAAGCACCTTTGCACCCTTAATGATAAAGCGTAAATGTGCTTTTCTTACCTCATAAGGCAGTTTATCAAAATATCCATTAGTTGGCCATTCCCTGAGGGTAACAATGCTGAACTGTTTATTAAGGGTGTCCATTCCACAGGCAAATTTTTCTTCATCCTCATCATCATCTATATCATTCATATCAATCATTGAAGTCTTAAGTGAAAGCACAGGCCTCTCTTTCACACCATGTAGTACCACTGCATCCAATTCAGTGTAGTAGTCCAGGAGAGAGCTGTTCACTTCCAGTCGGATTAAGTTTGTGGGAAAATTTATCTGTTTGATACAAGGTGTGAACTGCCGAGCCTGAGGACCATTCACCTTCGTAGGTGCCTCAGACCAAAGTATTTCCCATCTGTGAAAAAAAAAAAAAAAAGACATACCTACAGTACAGGAATTAAAATCTAATTTACTAAAGCAATTCCTGAGCACAGTAAGAGGGCAACACCATCTGTCAGAAGTATTTAACAAGTAATAAAAAAGGCTGAAAAGATGATTTATGATACTTATGCCTTCCCTAGATTTGATAAATATCCTATGGATGAATTTAACAGGACACACTAATCCATGACCTTAGCATATTTTCTCCACTGAATAACAAAACAAGCTGTAGACTCATAGTCGCTTGTGTTAGTGTTATCTGTGCCCAGGTTTTTCTAACAGCTCACAGATAAGGTAATTGAAACAAATGGATTGATGATGTCTTCACAATGATGGCATGTTACTGTAAATACACAAGGAACAGTCTTGCCACATGACCCAAAGAGAGACAGCTGACCTCTTATTTTCTACAAAACAAAAGAAAAAAACCCCACCCCTCAGACTCTTTAATATCAAGTCTGCCCAAATTACAGTATTACAAATTACTAAAAATAACCCAAATTTTACTTTGTTTAGCTGCCTAGGCAAGCAAAATGTTCCCTTTATGAGTAATTCAGTGACAAATTAGCAAAGAAAGTAGAAACTTCAAGTCATTTTTGAAAGGGTCCTTTGCAAAAGATGCCAGAATTTCCAAACTGCTGAACTGAAAAGCCTTTCTCCTCTTTGGTCCAGTGACAGACAGAAGTTCAAGGCATGTACAGAACTACCATACATACATCCTTACTTTCACACACAGACCCCAGAGCTCCACTAAGTGACAGGGAAACCTGCTGCCAACTGAGTAATCTGGAAGAATCAAGTCTTACATTCCTCAGATCTTCAGCACTCCCAAACTTGCCTAAAGGCCTGAAAACAGAAACATAATCTTTTATAGCTGCATAGGTCCTCACTTAGTGACTGGAGATCCTTCAGCCACTTTTCCTCCTTTTTTCCATGCTTTTCCTCCCTCAAGTCTAGTTAATTCCTAAAGAAGAAAGCCTCGAGCAGTTACTACTGCTACTCCCTTTGACAACATGCTTACCTCAATACTAATCCAGACACTTCCACATGTACACCATCTATTTCTGATCAGCCTAGTCCCAGCTTCAAGGATTTCTCTCAGACTTCTTGTCCTGCCACATGAATCTCAGAATCACTCTATCTACTCCCCAGCACTTCAGCATCTTGGACTTCCCTACTAGACACCACTACTTTAAACTTACAAAAGAAACAAATTATTTAACTTATCTCATTGTAACAGAAAGCCAAAGAAATGTACGTATTTTCATTAAAACACTGCACACAGCATAAGTAGGGTTTAGAAATTTGATATTTGCTAGTAGGAAAATCAAGAAAATGAATCCATATTGGCCATAATTTCCATTTCACAATGAACATTTTCAGGTATGCACAGATAACTTTTCCTATCCTACATCATGCTGCTCTCCAAGTTCCTTATAGTAGACTAGGAGACTTGCAAAACTCTTATGTCTCAAGGGAAAAAATCCCAAAAACATTATGAACTAAAAACAAACATACAAGAGTAGTAAGCATATGGCATATCAGCGTACTAATATAAAAGAGTGGACAGCTCTACCCTAAAATTAACAGTTGTCATAAGAGAGACATGGTATTAAGAAAATATTTCATTAATTTACAAAATGAGTGTCTACTCATGGCATAGTAACAGCTGTAGTCCCACTGTCACATCCTCTCACACAGGTCGATTCTCTAAGCAAATACTGAGTGCTGGCACAGCACATGATCTTCCTTGAACACATCCAGATCACCATCTGACATTTTACTTAGACACTTCCATGTACCCACTCAAAGTACCCTTAGGGAAACTCAAAGGCTATTTTTTCACTAATCTAACACACATTGGACCATCAACTTTTAGCAGAATGTGTCTGTTATTGACTTCTCCTTTTGGACCCTGGAGAGAGGATTATCTAGCAGCAGCAGAGCTCTCGAAAAAAATAATGTATCTAGAGATCTGGGCTCATCAATTGCAGTGCAATAACCAGCTCCAGCAGGCAGTAGCCAGTTTCCAATCTTTGTAATAAACTAGAGAAAATGGAAGACATGTAGCATGATTTAACAATCTTATGAAGCTCCACATTGCATACCAAATGCTGATGAACAGCCAAACCAGTGACAGTTTTCCACAGTCCTTGTCATACTGTTTACTTTTCATCAACAGCCCACCAATCTAACTGCAAAGAATTTAGCTCTTGGTTTATCTGGAAAAACTCAAGTCTATCAGGTTGATTTGATGATGTTCTCTGCCTTGGTGGCACCACAAACAAGAGTAGGCAATAGCAATTGCTCTGAGTAATTGCTGGTAAATCCTTCCTATGCTCTTAACCTATTAATACAAGTGGAAGTGATCTCTTCCTCTAGGATCACCACTGTGACACTTAAAGAGGCTGCAGGTAATTGGAATGGGAGTGAAGAATTCACATCAGGATCAAAAAAGTCTAAATTTCCAAGAGGCTTCAGAAAGAATTTCATTCTTCTGTTCTGGAACATTCTTTTGTTATGGTAATCCACCTAAAAATCTTTCATAAGAAAAGCATTTTTACAGTCAGTCCTGGTTTGAGGATATATATCAAAATCAGTTTCCCTAAGAAGGTAGCCTGCATCTGTTTCAAGCTTACAATGTTCAATAAGCTATTTAACCCAAAACAAAGAGAAACTGAATCCTAATAAATACCTTTAAAGAAGTCAAAGGATTTCTGCCTGCCCCACACCCCCAGTTAATTAAGTAGCTCTCAAAAAATCAAGTAGAATCAAATGAGTTCAGGTAGTACATTGTTTGTCCTCCAGTCTTGTAGATATATAGTAACAGCTGATCAAAGATGTCACACTGAGACTGCTTTGATAAGGTTTCATCAGCAATGTGCTAGAAAGCCTCAGTCTTTCCAGCAAGGAGTGCTAGGCAAGGCCTGAATAAAAGTCAGCAACAGCTGTATTATTTTCTCAAGTGATTGAAGAAAAGGACATTAAGTGAGTTTCTCAATTCAGCCTGTCAGTCACAGACTCGGTTTTCCCATTACATTTCTCTCTGCCCCATGAAGATAGACAGGAACTCAATTTTCTCTGATACTAAAGACTCCATACACCTAGGTGGTAAAAAAAAAAAAAATTCCCCTCCTTCTTCGTTTACCATAAAGAAAAATAGTCTGGTGATTTCTAGCCTGAGAATCATACTTGGAAGGTCTGTGTCAAATGACAGCACATATTTAAAACTTGCCTAATTTTTTGTTGACCTAATGTTGTTGGAAAGGTTTTTAATGGTTAAAATGATGCCTCAGCAGACCTGGTTACTTCTGAAGAAATATATATAATAAGAGAGAATCTTTGAAAAAGGGGTTTCTAGGAAAAGTTATCAGATTTCTCTCCAGCAATACAAGATTAAACTTTGCTTGCAGTTGCTGAGGTTTTTTGTACTGTCAAATCGAGACAGGTGTAGAAAGTAAAAAAAGCACTACAAGCAAACCAAAAAATGCCTTGCCTCAAGAAACTAATAGCTGAGTTAAATGCCAATAGAAGTGAGAGTTCCAGATAGGCCAACAAGGAGAACATAAGGCATGTCAGAGAATATAACCACACCTTTGATGAAAATGCAACTTGTGCAACAATTACAATCACATGCTGCTCTTCTTAGCCAATCAACTGCACAGCAGACATCTGTAGATTACCTAGGAGAAAACATCTCCTGCCTGCAACATGCCAGGGATGCTTCAGCACACTGTTCAAACCAACCTGGAAAGTGCACCCCTGACCTCAGCTGTGAGCTCATAAACACAAAAGGCAGGGAAGACTGGGAAGATCATGAGCACAATTTAAGAATCATTCAGATTAAGCTGATAAGCAGAGTTCAAAGCATTCTACTTATCATGAGAAAATACGAAGCAAATTTTCATTTCTACCAAAAGTTCAATTCTGAAATACCAGAGACAGCAGACAGGACTCCAAGAATGCTCAGGACATTTAAAACAGCAAAAGGTACTTCAAGTGACTGCTCATGTCTACATGAGCTTTTTAGGAGCATCTCAAAAATGACTGTATTCCACAAACCCAGAATTCATTTTTCTATGACAGGCATCGAAACAAGAAAAAGCTGGTTGCCTGAAGATGTCAAAACAAGTTTTAAGTAAGGATGCAAATGTCTAGAACTTGTGTGTTACGCATAGGTGAGATACAGGCCTGAAGGTTCTTTATCACACTCTAATGTGTTGATGGTATCAGCAGTGTTTTGGGTGTTTTCATCTGAGATTCTCAGGGAATAAAAGGTAGAGTGAAAGAACCATCTGAATGCCACTCTCTACTAAGGGCTCATGATATTTTACATTCAGTACACTGCCTTTCTGGTTTCACTCTTTTTTTAAGGGAAAGGGGGAATGGGGGGAGAGAGAGGTTCCATAAAACATTTTGATCCCTGTCCAGGCTGCTTAAATACAATAAATTTTCCATTGGAAGGAGAGGTAGCCTTTTATTTTGTCTATCTTCATTAGTCTGCTCCTCTGGTTTGTAGTAGCTTCTGTCTCTACAGGCTTTAAGACTTTCAGAAACAGAAAGAAACTTTGCATAAAGCAAATACAGTTAAACTTGGAAATACTGAGCCATGCTCAATTTTCTAGCAAAATTCTAAACAACATAAAATTAAACAAATTAAATAGAAATAAACCACAGGAATACACAAGACAGAATGGAAGTGATCCCAGACAAATGATCATGATATCTCATCTGTGAGAAAAAAACCTAGTAAGTGCCACACCTTATCCATAGCAAACAAGAAAAAATTAATCACAAGATAATCTCTAATTATTGAAGAAGCAATTACTGCATAGCAGGAAGGATATATGCTATGAAATATCACCCCAAGCACAGCCACAGATTCTAGACTTGTTACGAATCTCTGACTTTGAGATTTATAAAAGCACATGAATATACAGTATCACTAAAATATATGACATAAAAACTACAGTCAAATCAAATTTTAAAAGACCACAACAGGAGAACAGGGATAATTTTTTGTTTCATATTACAACCTTTAAAACCTAAGTTATTTTTAAAAAAGGAAAAAGTTGAAAATATTCTGAAACAATTATTTTTTACTTTCCCATTTAAACAAACAACAACTAACTATTAAGAATATCAAAATGTATCAAAAGGGTTAACATTGAAGAAGCCACTCGGGAATCATCAAGAGTAAGCCTTCTGAGTAAAAAAGAAGGAAAAAAACAGGAAAAAAAATCCCATTTTTCTCATAACAGAGGTTATCTATGACTTACCCATCAATCTAATACACTATGAAAAACTAAGAAAACTCTCTTGGGTTGGGTTCAGCTCATGCAGCATTTGCCCCCACTACACGTTTGTAGAGCTCTGCCTCTTCCACTGGCTGAAGCTTGGTGACAACCCAGCATTGTCACCAAACCCTACAAACACAGAATGTGCACTACTGTACAAAGTCCCAGGGCAATACTAGTAAAATAATCATAACACAACACAATCAAAAAGAGAGATTGATTTCTTCACCACATAAAAATTGAGACTTTATGTTACATTTCCCTAATCTCAGGCTATTAATTTTTTCTTGGGTTTTCTGCACTTTCTTACTTTTCACACAACAAATCTGTACATGGAATGTTAGTATAGTTTAAGGAATTACCTACACTTCTCACCAGTCAAGGTATGAGAGGCACAAATGAAAAGCACGAAAAGTTTCTATGTATTAGAAAGCAGTTTCTCTGTCATTTATGATTTAAAAAAATTGTTTCATGTACAGAAAAGTGATGTAATGCCTTTTGTGTTTAAAGCAGGAAAAGATATGAGAGGACAGAGAATCCTCCAGTTGCTGGATACTGGTTAAACCATAATGAAAAAAACTTAAACTAACTGAGGTTAGTTAGTTGGGTTCTAAGCATGAGGATTACTTAGAAACTATTACAAACCTTCTGAGAGGTTATTGCCATTCCATGAAGATCTGACCCAACCTCTAAAGACACTGAATAAAGCTCACCTGAGACAGCATCATACAAAGCTGCAATAGCAGTACTCAGTGCACCAGCAACAAAGGAACATGACCAAAGACCATTTTCTGAACACCTGCATGAGCTGCTCTTTCATGCAACTGAACCATAAAGTGAGTAATACATTGACCAAGTATGTGGGTGTTAGCCATTTTTTAACAAAAATATGTACAATTCCCTTGAGCAAGAACTGTGATACACTAGCTCCTCATAAAGAGACTTGTAGCCTAGAAGTTTTTGTACACAGCTAAGTTTTGAATGAGCTGATGTTTTAAATACTAACCAAAAAGAAAAAAATATTACCTAGTTGGAGCAGTATAATCCACTAAACATAACATTTAAGCAAGTCTGAACAGATTTTTTTCCTCTCAGCATTTTTGACTTCACCAATAGTTTGGCCTTCTCTGTATATCAAAAGTAGGAGCTGGAGGAAAAGAACTTTCCTAATGACCTGCCCTTTCTACACTGGTGTTAAGAAACACTTACAGTGTCAGCTGATGAAACAAAGCAGCACTGAAAGGTTTCGTTGGTAATAAACCAAGTATCAAAATAGTCAGAAGAGGAAAACAAGGTTCTAAGTGCCTTTTGAGTAAGTAGGTCATGGCCTTTTTTAACAGAAGAAACAGTGCTTCAAGACCAAAACATCAGTTAAACAAGGAATCACCTGAGATTACAGCAGCATTGCATCTTCAAAAAAAGAATTCTTAGCTGCTATCTCAGAGAATTTTTGAAAGTAAAAACAAGAGACCAAGAACAGAAACAGAAAAGAGACTGTGCTCTTGCAACTCTTCAGATTCCTCTCATAAAGGTGAGCAAATGAACAGAGAAAAAATACTGTGTCCCTCATGTGGAGAAAGGGTTTCTTTATCTTCAAGACACCATACATAAGACATTTGCCTCCTTTAGAAGAAAAAGGACAAACCAAATGTGCAGCTCCAAACATAAGTCCTGCAGAGCAAAAGTAAGCAAAGAGAAAAAAAGGGTTTCTCTAACACTTCCCTAGCATCAAGACTAACAAGTATTAAAAAGGCAGCACAGATAACTCCTTCCAAGGATGCCTGAGACAACCTTTTTCCAATCAGAAATACCTATGCAGGCAGGACAGGGGGCATTCTTGCCTACAAATTAAAAAGCAAGATCCTACAGAAACTTCATCTTTTAATGTGAAGAAGGGCATCTGAGCTCTCACTCTGACTTCTCACTCAAGAGAAGTCATACAGCACATACCCCCAAATTTTATATTAGTATTTTCACTTCCATCTCTGTTAGCATTCCGGAACACACATAATCACAGGATATGACTACATGCAGGTGCTTTTATTAAGAGCTCTGGGAATCAGGGGTCCAGATCCAAATCTGACTCCGACATGGCTTTCAAGCTGAACGTATTTTATATTCTATCATTATATAACTTATTGTTCTACTGTATGCATTGACATGAGTTTCTTGTGATCTTTCTTAGGTCCCTGACCACAGTTTCTCATGATTATTCTTATGATTAAACAGTAATTATATTTAATTACTAAACAAGCATCACATCTAACAATTATATCATTTATCATGTACTAGCTACACAGGTGCAGTTCTAGCAAGTACAAGTTCTTCATGTGCTTAGGGTGTTTATTTTTCCAGGGCCTACTAAGCTTATTTTTCCTGTTAACCCTAAATCCCCCTGATTTTAAAACCCCTTTACTATCATCTCCCTTTAGCTCCCCCTACAATTTTCTATTTCTCTTTTTTTGTGTACCTAATTAAACAGGTCCTTTAGTTAACTATTTTTGAGCTTTCCTCCAATCTGTGCTTCACCATAAAGAAATAAAATCTACATCACAAAGTAAAAAAATTAAAATGGAAGCTCACAGAGTAATTGCCCAGAAATCATTGTACATTAGGTTCTGAATTTGAAAGTCTTAAAGCTGCCTTCACCAAATACCATTCTGCCAATAAGTTCTGTATTACACTGCCAAAAGCACTCATACTTCTAAAGTTAGGTGGCCTATTATTATTACTTTGACCTATTACTGTTCTTTGAATTGAGATGTTTACTTCAGAACTATTCAACATAATCTCATTAGATCTGTAAAACAAGCAACTGCACTTAACCACAGCAGATGACAGAAGCATACAAAATATATTAGCTGGGAATTTTGAATATAAACCATGATACCTGATTTTCCAAGGGTTTTTGAATGAAAATCAATGGCCCAGTATTAGAAAGCAAGGGATAGTAAGGCAGACCTAAAAATATACTTTTTAGTGGCATCTGTTAAAGGTAAGTCAGTAAAAAATCACCCAACATCCATGCTAGCACTGCTTAGAGCACCAAAGTGTGTATTTCATAGCAATACAGTATTTGTTGGCATTCTAATCTTTACAGGACACATTTTGTTAAGTATTTCTGCTATCAGCTCTCCCTTCCTTTATATCTTTGGTATAATTTAATCTTTTTTTGATATGGAATACTTCAACTGCATATACTGATGGCTTTTCCCAATGTTTTTCTCCACTACATGCTTTGACCTGTTCACTTTCTCCTTCCATTCCTATTTCCTCACTTCCTCTCTAAGAACTTCTCACCTCGCACATAGTGTTTTTCTTTACTATCTTACCATTCCCCAGGTTACCACACTGCTGATCCTGCACCTGGAATATCATCAAGACTTCCTAATATAAGGAAAAACAACAGACTCAAACCTGCTTCTTTTAGATGAGTGAGTGTAAAAACAAGTGCAGCTCCCCACCCTTTGACCAGACCAAAAATAAAGATCACACAAATGGCATCACCTTTTGTCTGTTCTTGTGCTTCTGGTTTCAGCTTTGTTTCCATAAGAATATTTAGAGTGCCTAATTGTACTATACATGCAGCCTAAAGCATGAAGAGTAGAAAGAGTCAATGGATACTTGAAGCAGGATGATACAGCAGCCATGAATCCTCAACCTCTTCTACACAATTTTCTCTTCCTCCTGAAGGAAGAGCTCAGACCTACCATTTCAAAAGTAGTGTTTTATACATAGTAATTATTGCCCATAAAAATTCCACCACCAAAACTATAATTACACAAATTAAAGTTGATATTAGGAGATGCATTAATTCCTAAAAAATGTCTACATCTCTGAAGCTGCTATCAAAACAAGTCACCACAGTTTTAAAAACACGAGGAAATAAAGAAAATTTTAGCCAGTCAGATACAAAACCAGTAAATATTAGGAAGTAAAGTTCATTAAACAGCCCTATTTGTAGCATTTAACATCTTACAGGAAAGCATAAAGAAGAAAAAAATTACCTTACTTCTGCTGGTGGGTTTTGTGAGTAAGGATTTGCAGAGCATGCCAAAATCCTGACTACAGCCCCAGGATGATAGGTTTCCAGAATGTGCACTGCAGTGGGATAAACTGGTTCTTCAAAAGCAAGTTCCACATAGTCTTGGCTACAGAAAGTGGATGGTGTCCTCTTGAAAGGCAGCCGAGCACTCGGGCAACGATCCCACCAGGTCCCGTAAGTTCGAAAGACAGCAGTCTGGGTAAAGTCACCAGAACTAGGGTACACGTTGGGAATCCCTGCTAAATTCCACATGGTATAGGACATACTGTTTTCACTGCCATAGTGAGAGCTGAAATCCAACACTTCTTTGGCATACTGAACTATTTCAACGTTGATAGGTAAGGCTCGGGTGTTCGATTCAATAGCCCTCCGACTGTTCATTTCTCCTCTCGTTGCTGTCCTAGCTCGGCGCCGAAGGCACATGTAGTAAAACATGCTCAGAACTGTTAACATGGGAAACACTGGTGGCATCTAGATAGGACTTAGGAAGATGCCAAAAATCAGGAGTCTTTTATAAGTTGCATTAATTGTCTGTGGTGTTTTGAAAAAGAGCTGATAAAAGAGAATGAATAAACACAGTGAGCAGATACAGGATTCTTAGAAAGCAAATTGTGTTGTTCTGAATATTGTCTTAAACAAAGTACTGCTACTAGAATATTAATAAATTATTGTATTTTATTGTAAGACAATTGTTTAGTTGGAAGCTACTAAGTGTGACTTCCCATTTACATTTTACCTTACTTCACATTTATTTTTTGTTTAAAAAAAGAGAAGACTATGAAGAAACATTAGCCAAAAACAGCTCTCAAGCAACAAAAAAACTAATGGTCAAAATAAGCATTATCTTTAGGGATTTATTAAAAAAAAATAAAAATTGCAGTGACTCAGGGGAATGAATTCAAGTATGAAACGAAATTTGGACCACACTGTAAACAACCGTGAAAGCATATTTGAAGATATACCTTCCCATTAAGAAGCTGTGAAAACGCAGCTTCTTAAAACCACTGTGAATGGTTTTACTTTCTTTAATAAAAGTGTAAATGGTTTTAAGAGTAAAAAGAACAAGCTTTTGAGCTGTTAATCTAAACTTAACCCACTGCTTCCTCTATCAGAGTGCTAATCTGAAATAGAGTCACAAAAATACCGCTTTTACCATTTGAAGTTGTCCATGACAGCATACACCAACAATAGAAGGGTCATCAGCCTCCCGAAGGATGCTCAGAATTCACTAACAACATCATCTTCCTTTAAACCATGCAACAAACGAGGTCTTCAAAAGAGTCCTGACATCAGAAGCAGAAGTCCCCATAGAAAGCATTTTAATTCTGACAAGAGAAAATATTTTCATTAAAGTAACAATTCAGTTAAACACAAAATGTACTAGATCTGCATACTTAAAAAACCCAACACAAAATATACTATTAATTAAGGATAACAATGTGGTTTACACAGCCTCCATCAACACAAGTAAAACAATCAAATAAGCAGGTTTAACAATTAGAAAAAGCTAAATGAAAGATAAGTAACTTTTAGTAAAGTTTTCTGTTTACAATAGTGAAGAAACATTTATAGCTGAATGTTCTCTACAGGACACAGGAGGGCTGTATCATATTCCCTACTAATAAAGATCCTCTTACACATGCTTGCCCCATATTGAGCAGCTGCTCCATACCTGCGTGATGTAAACTGTGAGTTTTACCAACACACAAAGAAATGTGCAGTGTATTCTTCAATTTCCACTGGCACTACACAACACACTCGGGCTATGAATTCACATCCCCCAGCACCACAAACTGGCCTTCTCATTAACTTGTCCATCAGCTTTACTAAGAGAGAATAAGGAGTAATGCCTGTAACCTGTTAGAGGCCAAACAGGGATGACTAAGCATGTCTCAAAATAGAATAAATGTTTCTTCAATAGCCACTGCTGGAGTTGCCACTTAGTTTACCACAGGATACCTTCTGTGGTAACCAACAGATGTGACCCTTCTATTGCAAAAGACACATCAAGTAACAACTAACACAATACTTCACATTGCCAGGCAGGCAAACCACGTATTTTATGTTAGCAGTGTGTACAAGTGAGACCCTACGATAGCGTTTTTGGAAGCATAACTTTAAATTAGGGTAAATTATTAAACAAATGGAAACCTTTTAAAGTCTCTACACAGATCCACAGTGTGTTTTTTGAGGTCAGTTGCTTGTTCCCATACTCAGAAACACACCGAGATGTACAAACAGCTCTCTTTTGCATGAACATTTCCAGCAAGAAGGCACTTATGGTAACAGGCTGCACTATTTGCCAATTTTACTCATGACAGAAAGAAAGTTTACTAATGAAGTGCTCAATTCTCACTTTCTTGTCTCTTCTGTTATTGACTTTTTGTTCAGTTTCACTTGTTGATGTAGCTGTCAAGACCATGAATTAATCCTGATACTCAGTGCAGAAGGGAGTGCATAAGACAATATGCCAAATTTACTTCAAGCTCCCCTGGAATGCCAAGAACCAATAATGTCACATTTCCCACAAACAACCCGAGCCACCTTTCAGAAAAGATGCTGGAAAAAAAAAAAAGTAGCACAACCCTGAACCTCTCCTCCTCAAAAGAGGGAAAAAAAAAGAAACTACTCCAAACTGAAAATAGTTATTTTTTCAAAGCAGAGATGCTTTGATGTAAGATGTAAGTAAAGATTATAAATACATTCTCCTTCTGGATTTTTCCCATCTTAAAAAGAAAGATCTATTTAAGGAATATGTCAACAGACATTAAACTTCAACAAATGTTCTGCTATCAAGCCCTGGAATCATGGCTAGATCAGCATATAAACCACCATCAAACTCAGAATTTTATTGATTAGCATGAATTGAAGGCTGCTCCATGGAAACTCTGACTTTACACATCTCAATTTTAAGAATCATGCAGATGTGGTGCTTGAAGATCAGTAGGAATCATTTATCTCACATATGCAACCTACACAACTTTACATCTGCATTGCAAACTCCAGGCTTCCTCTGGCCACAGCCTTCAGCTCTTGTGGGGCTGCTGTAAAACACAGCTGTGCTCTTAATCTGAGCTTGTCCAAGAGCAGCAAAACCATCCAACAGCTCAGAGCTGTACATCAGCTAGCTGGCCAGTTTAAGCCAGGTCTAAGAAAGGAAATAACCTGAAATCATGCAGTAATGTTAATTTGGGTCATTCTCCCTCTAGCAACTTGGTAATTTCATAAAACCTGTAAAAATTTTAAATCCTTGACAGTGACACAACTTTGTCAGTTTTGGCTGGCATTGGTCTGTGGGAATCCAGGGCTTCCCTCTGGCTGCCCTGGAAGGCCTGGGACCCTGGCAGGGGGTCGGGAACCCCCCTGTACAGAGCCCCGAGAGACACTGTCTGTGATCTCTGTCCATGGAAAAGAGTTTTCAATCTTACAGGATGAATTACAAGCTCTGAGTGTTTGATATGAGTAATAATTAGGTGTGGCACGGGTGCAAAAGTAAAATTTTAGGTTTCTAGATTAGGGGTTCAGAGGGGACAAGATGGAGGAAATTGGGTGTGTCTTGTCCTTTTCCTCCTTCTTCATGCCCTCCATGTTTCACTGTAGTGTTGGCATTTTTCTATTGGTTTAGGCTGGAGACACGCTGTTCAACGTAGGTGATAGATATTGGCACATTATTGTAAATATAGCACACGTAATTTCTGGTATATAATGTTTGTAACATCCCACTGGGGGCAGAGCCCCACACGCTGCCCTGCAGGACAGACCTGCGGCAGGGCAGCAGAACATGTTAGAGATAAGCAAGAATAAACAACCTTGAAAACAGCACAGACAAATTATGTCTTCTTCTTTGGCAACGGGGCAGAAAGACAGAGACTTTCTACAATCTCAGAATCATCAATACCCACAGATTCCGACAACAGGGTCAAAAGTAAGTAAGTAGGAACAGAAAGCTTTCATGTAAACTTATTAGTCTAAACAACAGAAGTGGAGGCAAATTAGTTTTAAAGAGTTAAAAACAGTATCAGATATAGTAGCTTATAACAAGTAAGACAAAACTACTATAAAGAAGGATTAAACAATCATTAGGACTACAATACAAATAGGAATTCTTCCTCTGGCATTTTAAAAGAATCATTAAGAATTGTGTGGAGTTAAAAAGATGAATGAAAAATTGCTTCAGAGGTTAAAGGATAATAAGCTAGTGAAAGAATTACATTAAATACAGATCAGTAGGGGCAGATGATACAAAGAGATTTTTTTCAGGAACAACAAGAAGTCAAACTGATTTCTAATTAACAGGATTTAACTTTGCCAAAAAGATTAAAATGCAGACTCAGGTCTGTGCAAAATATCAAGATAAACAGCCCTGGAGCTCAAGTACATGCAAAGCTCCACCTTCCCTCAAATTGCTTGATTATTTTAAAGAGATCCACTTAGGCCCATGTAACTATGCCTTCCAATCTCTGGCTGGGTCCTTGGCCTGTTGTATATGATTAATTTTTTTTTTGTACAAACATAATTATGCTAAACTAAAGCCTAATAAAGGTTTCTTATAAGTGTCTTTTTATCCTCCTCCCAAGCGGCAGCCTTCTACATCTTTTGTTTCTATCATTTTTTTTCCTGTCAGTATCATTAAATGAACTGAAATAGTTCTATGAAATACCAGAACCAGTTTTCAGTCAGTTCTTCTCCCCAGATCATCTTGTGTGAGTGCTGGCTTGAGGAAGGAGCAAGACTGCACAGGCCCCAAGTGAGACTAGCTCAAAGGACTACCAAAACCTTACCTCTACTTTTACAAGACAGCACTCCAGAAAACCACTTTGGACTAGACCTGGAACAAAACTTTTTAAAGAGATATTTCCTTTCAAAATAGAGTCCATCACATTATTTACAATATCTCCTACCCAGACCATTATTTAATTTATAACTATTTCAATTACATGGGCAAACTCTCTTTTTCTAACCCTTTTCTTCATGCTATACATACAGAAAGGCTTCTAAGACTAATTCACTGTTTCCTTCTTCCAAGCACAGAAAACCTTGACAAAGTAAAACATCTTACATCTCCTGTACAGATTTCATGAGAAAATGCACTAATTAAGTTAAAGCATTCAAAAGCATCAGATCTCTTCAATCTATTCTGCCTTTTTTTACAGAGAGTTTTGTATACAGATCTGTTTTCCAGCTTTGAAGCAACCTATCCAACTAATGATTCCTGTACTTGAAAAAACAGCATGAAGCTGAGTCAGGGCAGGTTTAGGCTGGGTACGAGGAGAATGTTTTTCACCCAGAGGATGGCTGGGCAGCAGGCTCTCCAGAGAAGTGGCAACAGGTCCTGTCCTGATGCTGAAGAAGCATTTGGACAGTGCTCTCAGGCACAAAGAGTTGGAATGTCCTGTGCAGGGCCAGAAGTTGGACTCAATGATCCTGATGGGTCCCTTCCAACTCAGGATCTTCTATGATTCTACCTATTCATTTCAGTTAGTTTGTTTGGCAAATGCAACTCCTCAATACCCATAATTTTATCCCATACAAGCAGAAACAGGACTATTCACCAACCAGACTGCTGAGAAAAGGTGGGAAGTACACAGAAAAATACTTGAGATTTCAAAGGGCTGTAAAATGAAGATGTCTGTGAAAACAGAACAAGTAACAGATACTAGATTTAGGGAAAAAAAAAATATGGCACATTTTATCCCTGAGCCATCCCTGGAAAAGCACATGATAGGCAAGGGTTTGTACTATTTTAAGAGAAGCAAATGTTGTACATGCTAGTCATGCACACACAAGGTTTGATTTTTAAAGACAGAAGTAATAATTCTGTATAATAATGAAGTAATAATTCCTGTTTACACCAGCTTTGCTAATCTCACATTTGGGAGCAGTGAGCAGTTTTCCTTCATTTGACTATAAAAGAAACAGCAACATTAACAAATTACAAAGAATGTATAAATGACAAAAACAAGGGCTCGTATGATCTCTGAAGATAGATTAATGCAATTTAATATGTGTCCCTTAGATAAAAGACAGTAAATGGGAAATCTCTTAATTATCTTTGTACACTAATGCACAGAGGGAATACTGGATCCTTGCATTACAAAACAGAGTACTTTTACCACAGGTTAGCATCTCTTGCTGTTAATTACCTAGATTATACCAACATCTACACTCAACTTGTCGAAACTAGAAGCTATTATTAATTAAAAATTAATAAGCTATTACAGTATACTTTAAACTCAGGCCCCATTTGCTGTGTTTCTTCCCATAATATATTCTGGCACTAAAGCCTTTTCACACACACTTCTAACTAATAATTTTACTGTTGGAAAAAAATTGGAATATATGGCAATTTTATCTATCTACAATCTTATGTTGCCTACACAAGTACCAAAACATGCAAAATCCAAGAATTTCAGATTACTTCACTGACTGCATTCCTGCTAGGACCAGACTCATCATGTGGTTTAGCACTGAGATACAATGGAGACAAAAGTTCTTTGGTACCTATTCCACATTCAAAGTACATCTTTGTACATAGGTACATCTCCCTGTCTTAAGGAGATGGCTTTCCCAGATAACAGAAACTGCTCCTCAACATGAGTAAATCATCAGGTAGCCCCTTCTATTAACAGCCTAAAGTTATGAGCATTATACCACTTCATTCTGACCAACTAACCTTCCACCTGTGGTGAAACTCTTCCCTTAATGTAATTAAAAAAAAAAATTAAAATTCCCCACAGTACTTTTAAAAAGGAATTTGTGTGCACTTGTTTTACTTGTCTTTTCACTTTTCTCTTGAGATATCATACTGCCTCTCCATGCAGGTATACACTGTATAGCATTTACTTGCTGGTCAGCTGCTGCCTCACTGCACGGATGTAGTTGGCATCTCCCACTGTCACAGAATTACTGAATCAACTGGGTTGGAAAAGGTCTCTGAGATCATCAAGTTCAACCTATGACCTAAAAGCACCATGTCACCTAGACCACGGCACTAAGAGCCATGTCTGCTTAAACACCTCCAAGGACAGTAACTGCATCACCTCCCTGGGCAGCCCATTCCAGTGTCTAGTCACCCCTTCTGTGAAGAAATTCTTCCTCATGGCAAACCTAAATCTCCCCTTTCACAGCTTAAGACTGTGTTCCCTTGTCCTAATCATGTCCATTCACATCCAATTGATGTCCATTTGTCAGCCTGCACTGGTAGCAAATAACAATCCACAAGAAGTGAAGCACCCTAAAGTACACACCTAAAAAATAAAATAAAATAGCATCGCTAGTTCAGCTCCTATCCTACTTTCTGTAGTGCTGTGATCGGGCAACTGGGTGAAGCCGTGTAAGTGCGGAACACCGCAGAGACCGAGCAGCGGCGGAGGACCCGCAGGGGAGAGGAGCACAACCCGTGTCCAGCCCTGCCCGCTTTGTCTGGTCCCAGCACTGTTCCTCCCCTCCTCCCTGCTCCATCCCACCCCTACCCCTTCCTACTCCTTCGGCGACGGCGCTCCCCACCGGCAGGGGCAGCTCCCTTCCCCGAGGGAGCAGCTCCCTTCTCCAGGGGGACAGCTCCCTTCCCCGGGACGCAGCTCCCGCCGAGGCCTAGGCACAGCGGCGGGCAGACGCTAGCGGGACAGCCCAGTGCCGCCGCTGCCTTCCGCGTCCCTCCCCGACAGCGGCACCGGCCCGGCCAGGCCCGGCCCCGCCAGCGTGCCCTGGGTGGGCGGACGGGGAGCGCACACCCGCGGCCGCCCGCTCCCGCCGCGCAGGGCCGGCCCCGCACCGGGGCTGCTGCAGGCCCGGCCCCGCGGCCCCCCCGCGCCCCCCGGCAGCGCCGCCGCCGCCACCCTACCCCGTCCGGAGGGCGGAGCTGCCCGGGCCGCCGGAGCCGCCGCCGCGCCGGGCGCCGCCGGAAGCGCCGCGCACGGAGGGCGGCGGGGGCGGGAACGGGGGAAGCGGCGGGGGCGGGGCCGCCGGCTGCGCCTGCCCGAGCCCGGCGTGGGGCGGGCCCGCGCGTCCCCGCGGGTTTCTGAGGGGTGGGAGAATCTTGGGATTACGAGGGTTAGGAATCGAGCCCTAGCCCCACTGCCATGGGTAGGGACCCCCGGCAGTAGACCAAAGCTCCATCCAGCCTGGCGTTGAACAATGTCAGGGATGGGGCATCCACAGCTTCTCTGGGCAACCTGTTCCAGTGTCTCACTGTCCTCACAGTTAAGAATTTCTTCCTGATGTCTAACATAAATTTCGCCTCTTTCAGTTTGTACCCATTACTCTGTGTCATGTCACAACAAGGACAGATGCAGAGTCACTCCAGCTTCCCTGTCGGCCCCATCAGATAGGCAAAGGTTGCCATGAGGTCTCCATGAAACCATCTCTTCTCTAGGCTGAACAGCCCCAACTTGCTTTGTTAGGGGGCATGCTCTAGTCTGCACTTGCTTCAAAACCTTCATATCCTCCTTATGCTGGGCACACCATAACTATACACAGTACTACAGGTGGGATCTAACAGAGCAGAGGGGGAAAATCACCTCCCTAACCCTGCTGGCCACACTGCTTTTGATGCAGCCCAGGACTCCACCGATTTTTCTGGACTGTGAGTGCACACTGCTGGCTCGTGTTGAATTTTTCATCAGCCATCACACCTACATCTTTCTCCACAGTGTGGCTCTCAATCCCTTCTCCGCCCAACATGTAGGTGTGCCCGGGATTTCCACTATCTGGGTGCAGGACCTCATACTTTGCTGTGTTGAACTTCATGAGGTTCACACCAGCCCATGTCTCAAGTGTGTCAGGGTCCCTCTGGAGGGCATCTCTTCCCTCCAAGGTATTGAATTATTGCAGTGTTGTGGTTTGCGACTCAGGCCCACTCTGCTTTGTGTCCTGTTACCTCTGCAGACATGAAGACCATGGTAAGTGGGTGCCATGAGCCCACCCACTCATGATGAGCCCCACTTTCTCACGGAGCTTTTTACCAGGCAGTGTGTCTTGCCCTGGCCCCAGGCCAGTTGCGTTATGTTTTCAATGTCATGTTTGAGTTCCTAGCATGTCATAAGGGCAGCCCTGTTTTTAAATGATCTTAACTCCAGCACACTGTAGTGCTTCTTGGGGTGCTACCTGTGTATTGCAAAGGAAGTGTCATATAATTTAATTTGGTGCATGAGTGCTTTCTCTTCCAACCACCCCTTCCAGTCAGAGCTTCTGCCATAATCACTAAAATTTCTGTTACTCCAGCTGGTCTCCTCAGGTCTCCAGCAAGGCTCCCTGTTAGATGGTACCTGGGATTGTTCAGTTGCAGTAGAAAATAGAGTTGCTGACTTCTACTAGGTGGTCAAATATAATTCTAAAAATCCAGAAAATGTGCAAATAATTGCTATGTAAGGTGCTTTTTCTATAATGCTTTAATATAAATTCTATGCATTTATAATAAATTTCAAATACAAAAATCTATAAGTTTAGTATAGAATAAATTTTGGTTGGTAACTGCAGTGGCAGACAAGCCACCACACAACTCTGATTTCCACAAGAGACTTGCCAGTATGACCAGCTTATAGGTGATTCATACACCTGCATTCGCCTGTGTGCACACATACAGAAATGCACATATATGCACAAATGTTTTATGTACCTCAGACGTCACTGTACTGCTTTAAAATAACAGTTTAAGCCCCCAACTTTAAGGCACTTCTTCCATGGAAGAGGAAGCTAGACTCTTCATGTTTCAGTGATAGCAATGTAGAGCGCCTTTTGACACCATTCATCCTCACCTCAATCCTACAATTGGATGCAAGCTATTAGAGTATTTATAACAGTGCTTGCAATAAGCACATTCCCAGGGAGTGTCCAACTCGAATTTGAATTTTCAATACAAAATAAAATTGGAAACAAAACTGTGAATAAGTTTGATGAGTCATAAAATAGGTTAGGCATGAAAATGAATTTTTGTAGTTTATTTTGTTTATGTTCTTGCTTTCATTTTAGGTTTTGTACCTCTCATGCTGTCCTCCCTTTTCAAATTAAGTGAAGAGAGGGGGAATACTTGGAAGGCACAATATATCTAACCCATTTAATTGTTTAATTTAACAAATTATCTAACCCCTTCTATTAGCATTCAATCACCTAAGAAGAGGAACGCAAAAGTTTCTATTTCTGTCTGTTGTCAGCTATAAAGAGAAAGCAAGCAAGAGACATCTGTACAGAGGTCTGTGTTTGGCCAAACATTCCTATCCTTTGTTTAATACTGTATGGAGGTTGAATTCTGTATCAGTGCAAAATGCAGATGGATATGAAAAGTTTTTCTCTCAGTCCACTCATCTGCCAATTCACAGAGGCTGGAAGAGATTGCTCTTAAATTTAGCAGTGTCGAAGTTCTGTGTTTGGTCTAGTCTGCTGGGCTTATTCTATAAATCACAGGGAGACATGGATACCTCCAGGTGATCCAACATATCCCCTTCACTCCTATGATAGGTGCCTAAGGAGCATGGAAGCTGTCACTGTTTGGAGATACATCTCTCTTCACTTTGCATAGTCCATCCTTAAGCTTTCAGAAAGAAAATAGGATGTGCTATGTGTGAACACATCCTTAACAAACTAGAGAAATTACAAAACCAACTCTATCATTATTCACAGAGGCTGCCCACTGGCATATAGCATTTTAAAACTGCAGAAAGACTAGTATTTATTGAAGGAGATAGAGGACATTGGGTGACAGTGTCCTTTTTTTCTAGGTTGCTGTCTCAAAGTCATGCTATGTGCATTCAAGATGTGCTCCAAATTACTGTCAAATTGTCATTCCACAGCCTTTGCAAAAATCAATTGATGATCTGTTTTTATTCAACAGTTATCCACATCTGGAGCTGACAGATAATTTCCAGTGAGCTGTGGCACATGAGCACTTTATACATATTTCTATATCCACATCAGTAGTAAAACTAAGCATAGAATTTGTCCCAGAAAAAATCCACTGTGCTAAAAGGAAATACACTGGTAGAGCAGGATAGGAAACCTTCTGTTTGTAACATAAGAATGAGACTTAGCTTCTCTGTGCTAATCAAACTTTGTAATCACCAAATTCATGTCTTAACAGCATCCTGCTTCTCCTTCAAATTTTTCTCATTATTACAAGCAGTGGTATGTCTTGCTCATGAGGGGAAATCTTAACTGAAGTCAGTAGGAATATTGCTATTTCAAAAATAGGCACAGAGCATGGAAAGGCCATGTAAGTGGCATGGAGAAAAAGGTATGTCTGTTTCTATACCAAAGGCACATACAGGAGTGATATGACTGGTGACATTTCAATTACTTTTTGCTCCCAAGACAAGTGACTAGGCCTTGAGTCCACAGTCAGGTACTTCAACTCATCCCAAAGCAACATTGTGATAACCTATTAAAATATCCAGAGGGAAACTTTCCACAGAAGGAGGTAAAGATCCCACACACCAGCTATTGGTCGTTAGAGGTCAAAGGCTCATTTGTATTCTGCACTCACAAAAGATGTCCAGATCCACTTTTCTAGGCAAAGTGGTTGTTGGAAAAGCATACGTAGCAGAGGGATTTATAGTGAGAACAAAGAATCGGCTGATGAAGCAGTGGGGCTTACCTGAGCCTTGTGCAAATAATTAGAAGACAACTCCCACTGGAAACAGGGTAACACATTAGTTAAGTTTGTAAACAAGGGAGGCCTGTATCATTTGAGAAAACATTTTGTAAGTAAACAATTAATGCCGGAAATTAGCTGACTTTTAAGTCACCAGGTCCTGCTCCCAGCCAGGAACTGATCTGAATTTTGTTGTCACTTTGCAAAGCTTTGTATATTAAAGTGTTAAACTGAACCCTACAAATAATGAAATCATTTTAATCAGTGAGTTATTTTTAATACAACAAACTTAGCCAAGTGCTAACTGCAAAGCAGCACTGAGTGCATATGCATAACGCCATTGCCACTGGTGTGAATTGTTCTTTCTGGCTTCTTCTGCATCCCAGGATATTAACCCAGCATGGAAAGCATCTCACTGCCTTTTGGATCAGCATTACTGCTTTTTGATATGTGAAATTACATATATTCTTTGAAATGGAAGAGAAAGTATACTAAGTCAATGAGACTGAGTAAGTTTGTAGGTGTTCCCATAAGCCAGGCCTAACAGGCTGTTATGTTATGTGGAACTCTTTTATCAAAAGGAAATTTTTTATACCCTGTGGGGTTTTTCCCCATGTAACAATATTTTGTGTATTATTCTCTCTTTCTCGGCTATATTCTATGAAAATGCTGTATTGTGTAGTTGATCATATTTACTTCATTTTATCTTTATTTTCTTGTATTTTATCAAAAGATAAAAGGGAAGAATGTGCCACAGTAGAAGTATGTGCTTAAATTTTATATGCTGTTAAACAACTGCTGTGTTTTGTCTGTGTCTCTGCTGCTTGTTACTAGTCCTTGGTAGATCACATAGAATTTAGGCTATAGATTCACTGAACAAGGGTGATGTCTTGCTTTGTCTCCCATAAAATCCCTAGTCTATAGTATACATGATTTTATATATTTATAAATTTTATGACAATAACAGATTCAGCATTTGAATAGCTAAGCACTGCCCTTACTGTGTAAATACTCCACATCATATGTAATTAAGCTTTAAGAAAAAAGCATAAAGAGTGAGAAAAT